AGCTCATGCTTGGCTCGAGTCCGAGTTCCACATCTGTGAGGCATGCAATGGACCATCCTGCCCCTGAATTGGCACAAGTCCAAGTTTGAAGCATCTGACTCCTAAATCTCAGCGATTTGTAAAATGCAATAAAAAATCGAATCATGGAAACGTAGAGAAGTCACCTTTTCGTGCATTTTTTGAACAGCAGCCACCTTTTGTTAGAAAACTAACACTGTGAATCATCTATTGTACTCCAAAATCGTCCTTCACGCATCATTCCACCGATTCATTCGAATGTGAATGGGATTGTGAATCATGTTTATAGTGGCTCTCTCTAACCGTCTATGGGTTTTTCACGGATTTCTGGGCATCCTGTCGAAATCTGTCCGTATTTGTCCAGTCGCATGCACTCGTTTTACTGTTCTCAGGTAATCGTAGAGGAATGTATTTGTGTATGTAAGTGCGATGCTGCCGGATTCATCGCGGATTCACTCACTCTTTTTCGTGTTTTCATCTTCCACCTCTGTTTTTGATGTTTCTGAACGATTAGCACTTTAGGTAGAACCAAATGTACTCGGTGCCTCATCTTGTTTTCATAACAGCCTTAATAGTTCTTGCTAATTCTGTCGGTCTATTCGGAAATCTCAATGTCATCATTGCAACAATTCGTGATACTTCGTTACGGACAAAAGCTGGTGAGTAAGGGGCTGTTCACTATTCCATCTTATAAAAAAAGAAAATGAAAGTAAAAATAAAAGTGAAATAGGAAAATTGAAAGAGCTGTTGCTCAGTGTAACCAGTAGAATCTGCTCCGTTACATTCTGGGAACGTCCGGGCTCTGCAAAAGACGAAGTACGTCAAGTTTTCCCTGGCAACTTTTTTTGGTTGAAGATTTCAACTTTGAAGCAAATGGAGCTTATCGTTTTGGTGGTAGGACCCGCTTCGGCTTGTTCCCATTGCCAGAAAGGCTACGCGCATCAGATCTCTAATAATGAAATAAACATCAGGGTGCTCATCTACATATTTATATTTACTATTTATTAGACAAAAAATTTGCTATTTTTAAGTAAACATTCACAATTTTCCATTTACTAAACACAGTTATTTGTTTAACCGACTGTCACTGTTTTAGGATATTTGATGTCGATTCTTTGCTTTCTTCAAATCGTCTGTTTGGTATCAGAACTAGGAAATCTCCGGGTATATTGGAAGTAGGTTTTCTTAAAAATAGATTGGTCACACAGAGATGTAGCATAGCCATACGTTTTCAGCAGAGTGGCTGTAGACCATGCTGTCTGCTTCCGTATGATCGCTGTATACCTTTTTTCGTTCATCGCTCAATCTGTCATGTATTTTATGCTGTCGTTAGATATGCTGATCGCTGTTGTAGCCCCTCTGAAGTAAGTTATCATTATATATTAGCCTAAAAAACCTGGTGCCCTACCGAAAAGTCGTAGGATTGAGGGATCAGTCATAATGAGAATGTTTTCTTCTACAGGTCAAGCTTGCGTAGTGGCGGATTCAAAAGGCGTTGTTAAGGAGTCTCTGTTAGAATTCCGAAAACTTTTGGTGAATAGAATTGTGCCTATGGATATCAAACTGCGTTCATACTCGGAGATCCCTGTAATCCCTGTACTTCCTTCATGTTGACTGAGATAGCGTCATCATTAATGAGGCGAAGAACGGCAGAGGAATATTTGTTCTGCAGGCATCCATTAGGCTTTCACGGGGTTGTATCAATAATGATGAAGTCATCTTGTTCGCAAAAATCGGTCAGTAACCTGTCCACGATAAGGATCACTTCCGTCTTCTCGCATCATCATCTTTTCTGCTTCCCTGAACCCAATTCCCTAGGTGTGTAGTACAATTGCAGCAAAACAGCTACATTAATGCCCCAATTTAAAGGCACAGTTCACGATAAAAATGATTTCGGAGATTTACACATGGTATGAATTCGAGGCCCCCTCTGATGCCATATGTGCCGAAATGAGGTCGTAAAACGA